AGTTGTAGTTCACCTACATCCAGAGATCACTATGGACTCAAACAATGATGGATCTGGACCAAACTCTACACGAATACTCAATATGCCTAAATGTGAACACTGGTAGAATTTGGGGGAAATACACTCTTGACATTTGGGAGTTGTAGTTGCTGGGATTTATAGTTCACCTACAATCACAGAGCATTCTGAACCCCACCAACGACGGAACTGGGGCAAACTTGGCACACAGTTCTCCCATGACCAACAGAAAATACTGGAAGGGTTTGGTGGACAGAGTCCTTTGATTTTGGAGTTGTAGTTCACCTACATCCAGAGATCACTATGGACTCAAACAATGATGGATGTGGACCAAACTCTACACGAATACTCAATATGCCCAAATGTGAACACTATTCAAGTTTGGGGAAAATAGACTCTTGACATTTGAGAGTTGTAGTTGCTGGGATTTATAGTTCACCTACAATCACAGAGCATTCTGAACCCCACCAACGTTAGAATTGGCCCAAACCTCCCACACAGGAAAGCCATGTGGGCCACAGCAACGCGTGGCAGGGGACGGCTAGTATATAAATAAATACCATCAACATCTAACTTCAACAATTCAGAATCTGTGCACACATTCGATTCGGTTCTCCGTGAAGCAGATGGCCAATTTGAATGCGAAACTTGTGTTCGGTTCCTCCCAACGATTCCTCTCTCCAAACCAGGAATGCTCCAAAGAAGCCAAGATGTGGGTGGGGCTGCTTATATCGATGTATTGGTACAAAAGAAAAGCATGTCCCAAATATCCATTCTCTGGAAATGTTTGGCAAAAGGGCTCATGGGGGAAGAGTCAAGAATGTGTTACGAGAAAGGAAAGGCCCACTTTGCGCTTCGGAGGAAGGCACACCTTGCTCACAAGGCCTTTCATGCTCTTCCAGGAAAGTTGCATTGGCCAAGAAGGTGTAAACAGGGCTTGTTTCAATTAAGAGTTGCCCTGGACAGCTGCCCGAAAATGGGCATTTTGGACGGATCTCCATTGTTAACGCTCCAACGCGGCCATTTCCTCCGACCGCAAACTCCCTTCCTGAGGGCAAACCCGGGCAACGCGAAAATTTCATTCTTCTCCGGAACTATTCTTGCCAACTGGGCAAACAACAAAGCTAGCTGAACTGGAGCTTGCTGTTGTTTTCATTTTCCAAACAGTTGCTGGAATCATAGAATCCTAGAGTTGGAAGAGACCTCATGGGCCATCCAGTCCAACCCCATTTGGCCAAGAAGCGGGAAAATCACATTCAAAGCACCTCTGACAGATGGCCACCCAGCCTCTGCTTCAAAGCCTCCAAAGAAGGAGCCTCTACCACACTCTGGGGCAGAGAGTTCCACTGCTGAACAGCTCTCACAGCCAGGAAGTTTTCCCTAATATTCAGGTGTTGAAGTTGCTGGGATTTATAGTTCACCTACAATCAAAGAGCATTCTGAACCCCACCAGCAATTAAGCCAAACTTCCCACACAGAACCCCCATACTAACAGAAAATACTGTGTTTTCTGATGGTCTTTGGCGACCCCTTTGACACCGCCTCACGATCCCCCCAGGGATCCTGACCCCCAGGTTGAGAAATGCTGTTACATCAACGATGGAATTGAACCAAACTTGGCACACAGACCTCCCAAGTATTTGGTAGGCTTTGACCTTGAGTTTAGGAGTTGTAGTTCACCTACATCCAGAGAGCACTGTGGACTCAAACAATGATAGATCCGATAGGACCAAACTTGGCATGAATACTCAATATTGGGTTGTTGTAGGTTTTTTCGGGCTATATGGCCATGGTCCAGAGGCATTCTCTCCTGACGTTTCGCCTGCATCTATGGCAAGCATCCTCAGAGGTAGTGATACTCAATATTTATTTATTTAGACCGTTTCTACCCTGCCCTTCTCACCCCCGAGGGGGGACTCAGGGCGGCTAACACAGGCAACTATTCAATGTCAACAGTATCAAAAAAACAATATAAAACAGCAATATAAAATCCATTACATAACAATTAAGCAGTGATATTAATTAAAATTACATAACCACATAGAACAGATCACAGAATCACAGGTCATAAAGCCAATCACAGCGGAGGAGGGCTTTTGGTGGGAGGATTCCCATCCGTTTCCAAAACGTTTCCAAAACGGAAGAGAAGGACAGGCGGAGAGATCTTCAGCCTTCTCTGCCAAAGAGGTTCCTAAGACCATCAGAAATATATGTTTTCTGATGGTCTTTGGTGACCCCTAATTACGTCTCCCTAAACTACAAATCCCATGGTCCCACAGGATGAAACCATGTCGAAAATAGAATCAAATGTTATGATTGTGACCTAGAATAATAGAAATCCCCAAGGCTTCAAGGGATACCAAGGGGCTTGTTTATAAAGCTATTGTCCTCCCAACTCTGCTCTACGCCTGCAAAATGTGGACTGTCTACAGCAGGGGTCTTCAAACTTTTTAAACCGGGGGCCAGTTCACTGTCCCTCAGACCGTTGGAGGGCCGGACTGTAGTTTTTTTTTAAAAAAAAACAATAAAAAAATCCCTCTGCACATTGCACCTATCTGATTTGGCTGTGTGGAAGGGCCCTTAGAGGGAGGGGGTTCTTTCTCGCCCTCTTTAGGCAGTAATTCCAGGAGCAGAGAATGGGAAATCTTCCTCTTTCTAGTCTGAACAAAATCTGGCTACCAGTATTAACAAAAACTCTAAAATTATAACTGTAAATAAAGAACAACACTCAAACACAGGGGAACTCCAGACAAGAAACAATCAGGGCCAGCTAATCACCTCTCAACAAAGGATTCTCCCTAAAAACTGTCAGGCTATGAAATGGTAATCAAGGTGGCCAATTGAAACATTCATACCTACCTCCGACAGACAAGAGTTCTTTCTCCCACCCTGGATCTTCCACAATTTTCCTAGTTAAAGGTTTTCCTCTGACATGAAGTCCAGTCGTGTCTGACTCTGAGGTGTGGTGCTCATCTGCATTTCTAAGTTGAAGAGCCCGTGTTATCCGTAGACACCTCCAAGGTCATGTGGCCAGCATGGCTGCATGGAGCGCCGGGGCAGCATCCCTTGGCTGGCTCACGCTGCTCATCAGGCCTGACGGATAGCGTGAGCCTGCCAAGGGAGGAGCAGCCCCGCGCGGCCTACTTGCGTGTAAAGCACCTCACGAGGTGCTTTATGCACGAGTAGGCCACGCGAAGCAGCTGCCCTTGGCTGGCTCACGCTGCCCATTGGGCCTGACGGATAGCGTGAGCCAGCCAACGGAGGGGCACTGTGTGTGGGGGGCGCTCTTCCTCCGTGGGCCAGATAAGTGCCCTTGGCGGGCCGGAAGTGGCCCGCGGGCCGTAGTTTGAGGACCCCTGTTCTACAGACATCACATGCAACTCCTGGAACGATTCCACCAGCGCTGCCTCCGGAAATCCTGCAAATCTCTTGGGAAGACAAGCGGACAAGTGTCATCGTGCTGGAAGAAGCAAAGACCACCAGCATTGAAGCGATGGTCCTCTGCCATCAACTCCGCTGGAGTAGCCATGTCGTCTGGATGCCTGACCACCGTCTCGCAAAGCAGTTGCTCTACTCTGAAAAGAGTGAACGAGTAGAGAAAAAGGGATTGGAGAGAAGAGAAAAAAGTAAGGAATGAATGGAAAGAGGAAACCTGGTGATAGATGAGAGGAAATAGAAGAACCTGAGCCTGGGGAAGGAGTAGGAAGAGTGGAGATGTAAGGAACACATGAACTCCTGGAGGCCATTGTCAGATGCCCGACCACCGTCTCCCAAAGCAGTTGCTCTACTCCGAACTCAAGAAGGAACTGAATGTTGGAGGACAGGAAAAGAGATTAAAGATGGGCTCAAAGCCAACCTTAAAAACTCTGGTAGACACTGAGAACTAAGAAGCCCTGGCCCTTGAGGGCTCCATCTGGAGGTCAGCTGTGACCAGCAATGCTGTAGAATTTGAAGAGGCACAAATGGAAGGCGAAAGAGAGAAACGTGCCAAGAGGAAGGTGCATCAAACCAACCCCGACCGGGACCGCCTTCCACCTGGAAACCAATGCCCTCACTGTGGGAGATGATGCGGGTTAAGAATAGGGTTCCACAGTCACCTATGGACCCACCCTGGAGGATTATCCTACTCGGACAATGAGGGATCGCCTAAGTAAGAAGTAAGTATGAACCTATGAACCATCAAGGTTGTTAAGATCTGAAGGGGCCCTGCTCTCGGTCCCACCGCCTTCGCAATTGCGTTTGGTGGGGATGAGGGACAGGGCCTTTTCGGTGGTGCCCCCTCGGCTTTGGAACTCCCTCCCGATGGAGATTAGATCTGCCTCTTCCCTCCTGATGTTTAGAAAGCAGGTAAAAACATGGCTTTGGGATACTGCATTCGCAGAATGATGACTGAGTTAATAACTGCTGACCTTTCTAGCGGATGGCGATGAATTTGTGATTCTTTTGGACGAACTGATTTTTGCTGTGATTTGTATGAATTGTATGAAGTGTATTTTAATGTATTTTATATTGATGATCTATAATGTTTTTCTTATTGTATTGAATTTTATGTTGTTAGCCGGCCTGAGTCCCTCCCCAGAGATGAGAAGACTAATAATAATAATAATAATAATAATAATAATAATAATAAATAATAGATAATAAAATAAAAATAATAGATATCCCTAAGGCTTCAAGGCTGAGATTGGTAACCAAAAAGTAATGGTTACGAAACGGCCTCTTCTGGTTATTATGGGCACAAAGGAGACACAGAAGAACCCCAACACAACGATGCATTGTTTTACCATCTACAAAAGCATCCCCTAAATGCAGCAATGAGTTTTTACCATCCAGAGAAATGGCCAAACATGAGCAAAAGGGTCTCTTAATTTCGAAGTCTGATCATTCAAGAAGTTCTTGAGGTCCTACAGCCAAGGGCAATTCCCAAAAATACAATACAATTGTTCAGGGCATTAAATAAGGAAAAGGGAAGCGCTCCTTACCAAATTCACTGGCACAGAGGTGGTCGAGGATGGCATCCGCCTTCATCTCGTTGTCGCAAGGCGGGCACACGGCCGTACCTGGCAAGAGAAGAGAAACAGCCGAGTGGGAAGGAAACCAACAACCGTGGCCAAGTCAGGCAACAGAGTGTGGAGGGAAAACATAAGTCATGCAACGTATGCTTGGCACAGATGAGGAGGGCATTCTGCACTTGCAGACAACAATGAAGTTTCCCAATAATAATAATAAATAATAATAATAATGCCACATATACAATCTGCCTGCGACAAAGAACTGGTGGGATCACAACCAGAAAAAGTTACAGAGAATGAACATGTCAAACTCCTCTGGGACTTCTGGATTCAGACAAACAGAGTTTTGGAGCACAATACTCCTGACCTCACAATAGTGTTAAAAAACAAAATATGGATCGTTGATGTTGCAATCCCAGGTGACAGCAGGATTGCAGAGAAACAATTGGAAAAGCTGACACGATATGAGGATTTAAAGATAGAATTATTATTATTATTATTATTAACTTTATTTGTACCCCGCTAGCATCTCCCGCAGGACTCGATGCGGCTTACATAGGCCAAAGCCTCAAACACAATATAATAAAACATAACACAATAATAAGCAAAACAAATCAGACAATTAAGCAGAATAACAACAATAACTACATCAAGACACTGATTAAAACTGGTTCGGCCGGCGCAATGGGGTACAGGGGTTAAAGTGCTGAAATGGCAGGAGGAACATAGGATTAGAGGTATGGTGTGCAGTAACATCGGTTGTACTAAAGTGCTTCTAGGACTTGGGATGGGGGATTCCTAATCTGAAAAGGCACATCGGAACAGCCAGGTTTTTAGGTTCCTTCTGAAAACTGCCAGAGTAGGGGCCTGTCGGAGATCTTTTAGAAGAGCATTCCAAAGTCAGGGGGCCGCCACAGAGAAGGCCCTGTCCCGTGTCCCCACCAAGCGCGCTTGCGACGTGGGTGGAATCACGAGCAGGGCCTGCAAAGACGAGCAGAACTGCAAAGACTCTGGCACAAACCAATCAAGGGGGTCCCAGTGGTGATTGGCACACTGGGTACAGTGCCTCAAGACCTTGGCCTGCACTTAAACACAATTGGCGCTGACAAAATTACCACCTGCCAGCTGCAGAAGGCCACCTTACTGGGATCTGCACACATTATTCGCCAATACATCACACAGTCCTAGACACTTGGGAAGTGTCCGACGTGTGATCCAATTCAACAGCCAGCAGAGTGTCTGCTGTGAACTCATCTTGTTGTGTTAATAATAATAATAATAATAATAATAATAATAATAATAATAATAGAATTTTTCCTATAACAACAACAACACTGTATTTGGGTTGTTGTAGGTTTTTTCGGGCTATATGGCCATGGTATAGAGGCATTCTCTCCTGACGTTTCGCCTGCATCTATGGCAAGCATGCTCAGAGGTTGTGAGGTCTGCTGGAACTAGGAAAATGGGTTTATATATCTGTGGAATGACCAGGGTGGGACAAAGAACTCTTGTCTGCTGGAGCTAGGTGTGAATGTTTCAACTCATCACCTTGATTAGCATATAATGGCCTGACAGTGCCTGGGGCAAACTTTTGTTGAGAGGTGATTAGATGTCCTTGTTTGTTTCCTCTCTACTGTGTACCATGCAGCTGTGGACAAGTCTACATAGGGACCACCAAACGCAGCGTTGCCCAAACGCGAATCAAGGAACATGGAAGGCACTGCAGACATAGCAGAGCACCAGATGAACCAATCTGGACACAGCATATTATTTGAGAACACAGAGATGCTGGACCACTCTCACAACCACCATGTCAGACTACACAGAGAAGCCATTGAAATCCACAAGAAGCACGTGGACAATTTCAACAGAAAGGAAGAGACCATGAAAATGAACAAAATCTGGCTACCAGTATTAAAGAACTCTAAAATTGCAACAGCTAAACAGCAGAGAGGAAACAAACAAGGACATCTAATCACCTCTCAACAAAAGATTGCTCCAGGAACTGTCAGACCATTGTATGCTAATCAAGGTGGTCAGTTGAAACATTCACACCTAGCTCCATCAGACAAGAGTCCTTTGTCCCACCCTCGTCATTCCACAGATATACAAACCCTTTTTCCTAGTTCCAACAGACCTCACTACCTCTGAGGATGCTTACCATAGATGCAGGCGAAACATCAGGAGAGAATGCCGCTAGACCATGGCCATATAGGACTCTGTTTGGTAAGGACCACTCATGGCAGCCATAACGCAATTTGGACCGGGTGTAGGGGCCTAGATTGCCCTAAAAAGCCTACAACAACCCAGTGATTCTGGCCATGAAAGCCTTCGACAAAACACTATTTATATTCTGCTCTATCTCCCCAAACAGGACTCAGAGCAGATTACAAGGTCCACAGATAGACAAACATTTAGTGCCTTTAATACAGTAGAATAACAACAACATACACAGAACAAAGGTAAAAGCTTCCCCTTTCATCTCCGGCTTCTGGAGGTGGTGCTCAACTCCAAACATGGGGAGGTGCTCTTGTTCCATTTCCAAGCCAAGGCACCTATTGTCTATAGACACCTCCTGGTTGTGTTGTCGGAATGGCTGCTCGGCCGCCTTTGTTACCTTCCCACCAAAGCGATACCTATTCATCTACTCACATTTGCACATTTAGATTGGCAGGAGTTAGGGCTAACAACTGGAGTTCACCTGACCCATGACTTCAAACTGCCAACCTTTAGGTCAGCAGATTCAACCGTTTAGTGGCTTAACCTGTTGCACCACTAGTGTGCTGTCACGCGCTGGGCCTGTGAAAGAGTCTGTAGACAGGACGTGTTTTCTGAATGCTCAACGGGACGCCGGGGATGCCTCGGCTGAGAGGCCTTTCGGATTTCCCCACACAAAATTCTTTTAAAGACTTAGAAAGTTCAACAAAGTTTTTATTGTTGCTTAAATCTCCAATAAATCAAACAGATACTTCAAGGCTTTGAATCAACTGGTGGCTTGCTTAATCTTGTCCACAAGGGACAGGCAACTTTCTTCATAAACTGTTTCTTCCTCCTACGAGGGAAATCCTTGACTCCTCCCTGGGCAATCTAGGCCCCTACACCCGGTCCAAATTGCATTATGGCTGCCGCGAGTGCTCCTTACCAAACAGAGTCCATTAGTAGATTTCCAAGAGGAAAGAAGGCTTTCAATTCCCAGTGAAGGCTGGCTGTAGAGTGGTGGAACTATATTCCCCAACAAAGGCTCTGCTGTAGTTCTCTGTAGAGCTGTGGGACTGGATCCCCCCAGCAAAGCTGGAAAAGGCGAAGCTTTCTACAGGTGGAACTGATTCACGTCCTGTACGAAAGGCTTCTCTGTGTGAAATGAACGAGAGGTCCCCTTTTCCCCTCCTTAACCCAGAAAAAGGGGCGGAACTAAAGAACATAATGATAATCGATGGGTCATTGGCCCTATGAATGCAAGCAAAGGGAAGCCACCTTATTGCAAAATGCAGGGAACTTTGGAATACATGCAAACACTCAATAGAAAGGGAAAGAAGTTGGAGTTCCTGCACATACCAGCATACTGCACATACCAGCACAACTAGTGTTGTAAGTCAGCCTGTTCAACAACCTGTGATTGTGTCTGATGTTCATTATAGGAATGAGGATAATGTTCCTGATGGTGGGCCTGAGTCTGTTGGTAATGGGGATGAGGGTTTGCCTGGTCTTGCATTAAGCTCAGACAAGAGGCTTGCCTCGGGAAGATTCACAAGGCCACATTCCTGGGAGAGACCCTTCGCAGCCTTTCTCAGAGCAACTGTCTGAAGATGATTTTTCAGGTGCAAAAGTTAATGAAGGAATTATGCACCACACTCTGATCCTAGACAACAAATAGATTTGGGACGAATATGCTGAATGCGTGTCTACCAAGAAAGGAAGCTTGGGAACGTATTTACCAACAGTAAGGATTCCCCATTTAAACCAGCTAAACAACAGATGGCTGCCATAAAGTCAACAATTTTTTTTCTTCAGTATTTTTATGGACTCTAGCACCCAGCCTTGGAGAGCTATTAGGTTAAAACACATCACACATCCCTCCAATATTATATATCATATGTGCCTTCAAGTCACCTCTTGACTTATGGTGACTGGAAGTGGTGTCAAACTGCATTACTTCTGAAATGTAGATGCACCCAGGGAGCCCCAGGTGGCGCAGTAGGTGAAAGGACTGAGCTGCTGAGCTTGTTGACCGAAAGGTCACAGATTCGAATCCGGGGAGCGACATGAGCTTCCGCTGTCAGCTCCAGCTTCTGCCAACCTAGCAGTTCGAAAACATGCAAATGTGAGTAGATCTATAGGTGCCGCTCCAGCGGGAAGGTAATGGCGCTCCATGCAGTCATGCCGGCCACATGACCTTGGAGATGTCTATGGACAACGCCGGCTCTTCAGCTTAAAAATGGAGATGAGCACCACACCCCAGAGTCGGACACAACTGGACTTAATGTCAGGGGAAAACCTTTACTTTTACTTTACCTTAGATACACCCAGACTACAAAGACACCACAGTAAACAAGAGCAGTTTCTCCCCACCTGGCAACCTCCAGATGTTTCAGGCTACAACCCCCATCATCCCCAACCAAAATGGAACAATCTAGTTTGGAGCCGGGGGTCTTTGGATAGAATCTGTGGGCAAAGAGACCGGCTCTTCAACAACGTCATTGCAATGGCGGGGCATAGGGCAGGTCACCAGCTCGCATTCCCACTCCCACGTCCGGCCCGGGCCAGAGCAAGAACACAAAAGGCTTTGTTGGCTCAGAACAAGCCTTTCCTGCAATGCTGCCGACGGCACCCGCGTATAGAAAGCCTCGCTAAGCCTGAGAAATATTGCTGAAAGAAAAGAACATCTTGATCTCGGAAAGAAAAACAGAATCGGATGATGACCCCAAGCAAGAGGAGCAATTCAGAATTGTGGATATGGGTGTTATAGTCATTGTTGCTCCTGATGCTGCAGCCAATCAGTATGGCCACAGGGCATAATAGCCGGACTATTCCAGAAAGTAACTTTTCCA